CCCTCCCTGGTGGCACAGCGGGTTAAAGCACAGCACTGAGAAGCAAAAGCCACTTCTGCATGAGTTCGATCCCCGCCTGCCCCGGAGGTGACCACGTGGCGTGGCAGACCTCTCCTGGCCCGCCCGCTGCTCCCCTCAGCAGTGTACCTCCTCTATCTGCCACTCTGTATCTGATGAATCCTCTCACCCTCCGCATCTCTGGCTTGTACCCCAGTTCCATATGAATAAATAAATAAATCTTTAAAAAACAATAATCCAACCTTCTGTTCCTTCAGAAAACATACTTAGGCTATACAGATAAACATAGATTGACAGTAAAAGTTTGGAAAACAATTCTAGTAACAAATGGAGATAGCAGATGAAACAGACTTTAAGCTAGAAGAGGTGAGTGACAAGAGACACCAATAGTCCCTATAGAGTGATCAAAGGGACAATACACCAAGACATAACATATACCAATATATACTCACCAAATGAGGGAGCACCAAAATACATTAAACAGTGAATATGAGCTCTGTAGAAACACACTGGAGAAAATACATCTGTGCTAGGAAACCTCAACACCCTACTGTCACCAAGGGATAGATCAACAAGACAGATTAAAGAAGGATACAATAGCCCTAAATGAAGCTATAGACCACATGGACTTAACAGGTATCTATAGGACACTGCAAACTACACCCCCCCCCCGAAAAAAAAAAACAAAAACTGAATATACATTTTTCTAAAATGTACATGGATCATTCTCCAGAGCTGATCACCTACTAGGTTACAAGAACAAACATGAAAAATAAATGAAGACTGAAATCATAACAAGTAGCTTCTCGGGCCACAAAGGTATCAAACTAGAAATCAACTATAAAAAGAAAGCAAAGGAGATTGCCATTACATGGAGGCTGAACAACTGGGTTAATGAGGAAATAAAAGAATAAAATAAAAAAATACTTTGAGACAAAAGACAAAAATAATGTAACTTCTAGAACATATGGAACTCAGCAAAAGCTATATTAAAAGCAAGAAATAACCCAAGGAAACGACCGAATGTCCCATCGTGAAAAACTAGAAAAAGAACAACAAAAAAACCCCAAAAGCCAGAAGAACAGAAGTAGTAAAAAAGCAAAAAATAAATGAAATTTAAATAATAAAGATCAGTGAAATTAAAATCTGGTTCTTTGAAAACATAGGCAACCCCTAGCAAGGTTCACCAAAAAAAAAAAAAGAAAAAGAAAAAAGGGCAGGGGCCCAGAGGGAAGAAAACTCAAATAAGTAGGATTATAAATAAAAGAAGAGAAATTACAAGTCACAGCAGAAATTCAAAGGATAATTAGCCATTACTATGAATATTTATACACAAAAGGTACAACAATCTAGATGAGATGGACAAATTCTTACAATAAGCCAAAACTGAAAAAAGACTAGAAAACTTAAACCAATTACAAGCAGTGAAATTGAAATAACAATCAAAACCCTTCCCAAAAACAAAAGCCCATGACCAAATGGTTTCACAAACAAGTTCTACCAAACATTCAAAGATTAACTAATGCCAGTCCTACAAAAACTTTCCAAAAATCAAGAAAGAGGACCCTTCCGGGTGGCACAAAGGGTTAAAGCTCAGCAATATGAAGCTATCCCCAGCCAGGGAGGTGACTCACACAGAGCAGCATAAATCTCATGACCTGCCCACTGCTCCCCTCAGCAGTGTATTTCAGTCCATCTGCCTATTCTGCTCCCCACTGTCTCTGGTGAATCCTCTCACCACCCACACCTCTAGCCTGTACCCCAGTTCTTGTATGCATAAATAAACCTTATTTTTAAAAAATAAAGCAAGAAAAAGGTAACATTCTAAGGTTAAAAAAAAAAATCAAGAAAGAAGGGAAACTGGGCCCTCCCTAGTAGCACACCAGGTTGGAGTGCTGCACTGTGAAGCTAAGTCAAAGCATGGCCACTTCAGCGTAAGTTTGATCCTTGCCCTGGAAGTGATCCACATGGCGCAGTAGACCTCTCCTGTCTTGTCCACTGCTCCCCTCAGCAGTGTACTTTGTCAATCTGCCTGTTCTGCTCCCCACTCTGTTTCTGGTGAATCCTCTCGCTGCCCCTGCACCTCTGGCCTGTACCCCAGTTCTGTATGCATAAATAAATAAAATCTTTTTAAAAAGAAGGGAAACTACCAAATACATTTTACAAGGCCAACACTACACTAATACTAAAACCAAAGACAACACAAAAAAAGAAAACTACCGGTCAATCTCCCTAATGAACACAGATGTAGAATTCCTCAATAAAATTTCAGCAAATCATATACAACAATACATCAAAAGGATTATATACCACAACCAAGTGGGATTTATTCCATGGACAAAAGGATGGTTCAAAATCTGAAAATCAATTAGCGTAATTCACCACATCAACAAAAAATAAATAAAAACCATATGATCATATCAAAAGATGATGAGAAGCATATGATAAAGTCCAACATCCATTTATGATGAAGGCCCTCTAAAAACTCAGATAAAAGGGACATATATTTTAACACGATAAAAGCCATGTATGACAAACCTATAGTTAACATCATCCTAACTGGTGAAAAAATCAAAGCTTTCCCTTTAAAATCTGGAACAAGACAAAGATGTCCACTCTTACCATTGCTTTTCAATATAGTAGTGGAGGTCCTAGCTAGGGCAATTAAGCAAGATAAAGACATAAAAGGATTCCAAATAGGGAAAGAAGTGAAACTATCATTATATGCAGATTATATAAAGAACTCCAAAAAATCCACAGAAAAACGAATTAAATCAGTTTAGTAAAGTAGCAGGTTACAAAATACAACAACAACAAAAAATCAGTAAGTTTCCTACATGCAAAAATAATCAATCTCAAGAGGAAGAAATGAAAACCATCCCATTTACAAGTGTACCCAAAAAAATTAAATATCTGGGAATAAATTTAACCATTCAACAGATAAAGGACTGATATTAAAGATCTACAAAGAACTTGCACAACTCAACAAAAACAAAGCCAGCAATCCACTCAAAAAAATGGGCACAAGGGCTAAAAAAGACACTTCTGGCCCTCCCTGGTGGCGAAGTGGGTTAAAGCACAGCAATAAGAATCAAAAGCCACTTCCGCATGAGTTCGATCCCCATCTGCCCCGGAGGTGACCCATATGGTGCGGCAGACCTCTCCTGACCTACCCGCTGCTCCCCTCAGCAGTGTACTTCATCGATCTGCCTGTTCTGCTCCCCACTCTGTCTCTGGTGAATCCTCTCACCACCCCTCACCTCTGGCCTGTACCCCAGTTCTGTATACACAAATACGAAAATCTTAAAAAAAAAAGACACCTCTCCAAAGAACATGCAAGTGGCCAACAAATGTGAAAAAGATATTCAACATCACTAGTTATCAGGGAAATGCAAATCAAAACCACAATGAGATACCACCTCACTCCAGTCAGAATAACACAACATTAAAAAAGAAAAAGTGGAAACGACAAATGCCGGAGAAGATGTGGAGATAAAGGAACCCTCTTACACTACTGGTGGGAATGTAAACTGATCCAACCACTACCGAAAGGTAAGTGAAGGTTCCTCAGAACGCTAAAAATAGATCTGTTATATGATCCACTTATTTCATGTAGGAATCTACCCAAAGAACACAAAAGCCTTAACTCAAAAGGAAACCTGCTTTTCTATGTTCTGCAGCCCTATTTACAATAGATAAGATATGGAAACAATCCAAATGTCCCAAAATAGATGAATGGATCCAAAAAAAATGGTATATATGCCCACAATGGAATAATAATCAGCAATAAAAGACAAACTTATGTCTTTTGCAGCAACATGGACAGAATTGGAAGGGATGGTGCTAGTCTAAGTAAGTCAGAAAGAAAAAGATAAATATTGGTCGGTCTTACTTTTATGTGTAATATAAGGAAACCAAAATAAAGATAAAGCCAAAACTAGGGCCCTCCCTGGTAGCCCAAGTTAAACTATAGCCACTGCAGCACCAGTGTGATCCTTGGCCAGGGAGCTGACCCACATGGCGCTCTCGCCTACTGCTCTCCTCAGCAATGTATTTCAGTGGATCTGCGTGGGCTGCTCCCCACTCATTCTCTCTCTGGTGAATCCTTGCACCCCTATCTTATACATAAATAAGTATTTTTTAAAAATCAAAACTAGTAAGCTGACCACAGAACTGAAGCATACAGGACCTCCCAGGTGGCGAAGGGGTTAAAGTCAGTGCTACCAAGCTATCACTAGCCACTGTAGCATGAATTTAATCTCCCACCAAGGAGCTAACCCACATGATGCAGCAGACCTCTTCCTGTTTCACCCACTGCTCCCCTCAGCAGTGTATTTCAGTGGAATTGCCTGCTCTGCTCCCCAATGTCTCTGTTGAGTCCTCTCACCCTTTGCACCTCTGCCCTACATCCCAGTTCTTGTTATGCAGAAATAAAATTTTAAATGAACTGGAGTATACAGCAAATGGAGGGGAGGACTGGCCACAAGGGAATATGGTGATGGTTCATGGGTGATATTTTGGCCAGAGAACTACCCTCAAGCACCCACCCTCACCCTCATTCCCCATCTTTATTATCATTCTCCTTTATCAGACTCACATGAATTCCTCATCTTTTGTGGTACGTATGCGCACATAAGCATCAATGACAGCTGGTTTTCGGACAGTCTCACAGCGAACATACTCTTTTCCCTCTTCATCTCGAAATGTGCGATAGATCTTGAGACAACGGCCAGTGGCAGAAGAGTTTAGGCTAGTCACAGAAGCTGTGTCATCATCTCTGTGATTGTTTCCTGCTGCTGCTGAGCCTGCTGCTGCAAGGCAGAAAAAGATTTCCACACATTCTCTCAACCACCCAAATGGCCATTATTTGGGGGTTGAGTGGAGACCCCAAAACTCAACATAGCAAAAACTACAGAAAGCATTAAAGGTACCATTAATCCCAAGAATGCACTGATTTATCCTTTCCTGACCTCATTTTACCATTGCCAATGTTCCTTTTCATAAGTACAAAAATGTTCAGGCAGGATCTCAAAGAACTAAATGCTTCTGTATTATAGGACTATGAAGAGTAATCATCATGTCCTGACTCCTCAAACAGCAAGAGGACAGACAATCAGGAAGTAACTGATGATGACATTTAAAAACCTGGCACCTAGCCCTCCCTGGTGGCGCAACAGGTTAAAGCACAGCACTAAGAATCTTAAGCCACTTCCGCAGGAGTTCAATCCCCGCCTGCCCCGGAGGAGATCCACATGGCGTGGCAGACCTCTCCTGACCCGCCTGCTGATCCCTTCAGCAGGTACTTCATCGATCTGCCTGTTCTGCTCCCCACTCTGTCCCTGGTGTATCCTCTCACCATCCGCATCTCTGGCCTCTAACCCAGTTCTGTATGAATAAATAAATCTTAAAAAAAAAAAATCTGGCACCCTCCGTGATAACACAACGGGTTGAAGCACATCACTATGAAGCTATCCACAACCGCTGCAGCACTAGCTCGATATCCAGCCAGGGAGGTGACCCATATTGTGCAACAGACCTCTCCTGTTTTGCCCGCTGCTCCCCTCAGTCGATCTGCTCATTCTGTTCCGCACTCTGTTTCTGGTGAATTCTCTCAACCCCACACCTCTGGCCTGTACCCCAGTTCTTGTGTGCATGAATGGATAAATCTTTAAAAAAAAAAATAAAGAACCCACCCAAGGGGAAAAATTAAAACTACAGGAGCAAACCTAGACTATACATTTCAAACTTCAATATGCATTAATAGAAATCACCTGAAGATGTTTTTGAGCTACAGTTTCTAATTTAGTAGGCTTAGGGTGAGGCCTGAAATTCTATATTTGCAATAAACTCCCATGTTACACAGATACTACTGGTCCAGGATCACAATGGTAAAATGGCTTCATCACATCTTTTTACAAAATGATATTACACAAAGCTTTTAAGAAAAAAGACTATTGTTGAGTCAGACCAGTCACTTAAATGCTTCATCTTCAGCCTTTATCCTCTCTCAATAACTACAGCCAAGTTTTTAACAGCCTGCCTGACATCTATACTGCAAACTGTCATGGTGAACTGAAACTCCACATACTGCACTTTCCCTTCTTAAATATGCTTCTTTCCCTGAAATTTACTTCTATAATCAATGATAGCACCATCTTTATAGCAAACCCAGAGTGAAATCTTAACTTGATTTTTTGTCTTCATTACCAATATCCATACCCCCAAGTCACGCCTTTGTACCTCCATCTTCAATTTCTGCTATTTCTTTTTGGTGATTTTTTAACTTGTGTCTAAGACTCCTCTGAGAACATTACACCAAACCATGCATTTTCTCAGAAAAGGCACATTTGCACAGAATTTTACACATAATTTCAGAAGGTTCAAGACCACCCCCAAGTCCATCCACAGATGCTATATTAAAAATTCTTACCTGTCAGGATGAGTACCCAGAAAGCTTACTTGACTTGGAGCACTAATAGCCCTGGTTTAGCCAGGCATGACACAAAAGCAGTAGTAGATTGGCAGCATCATTTCAATTTGTGCCCTACAGATAAATTTAGTCTAGTTCACAGTAATCTCTCGACCTCATCTACAAGCTTTCCTACACTTGTTCCCTACTATTTTTATCTCCAGCTTTGCATCAGCTATTAATCTGCAGTTACTTACACTTTTATGAGCTCCCTTTTTTTAAAAAAAAAAAAAAAGATTTATTTATTCATGCACAGAAGAACTGGGGTGTAGGCCAGAGATGCAGGGTCAGAGGGTTCACCAGAGACAGAGTGGGGAGCAGAACAGGTAGATTTACTTAAATGCACTGCTAAGAGGAGCAGCGAGTAAGACAGAAGTCCCCTGAGCCATATGTCAGTCAGCTCCCTGATTGGAGATTGACCTCAGGCCACGGTGGTGATAGTGTTGAAACTTAACCCAGGCCACCAGGGAAGCCCAGGTCCTTCTCTTTTTTGTCTGTGAAGTCACTATGCTCACCCAGTAGCATCCGCTGTAGTTCCTTCCGTTCCTGCTCCTCTCGTTCACGTGAAAGCTGAGAGCTAGTTTTCTTATTCTGCAACATGTTTTCAATGTTCTTTCCCATTTCTTCAAAGTCACTGTCTTCAGCTGAGCTGCTATCTGTATCAGTTGATAAGACTTCAGTTGATGACAAAACTCTAAAAAAAATTAAACAGTTAAGAGAAAAGGAAATATAAAAGTGTAGAAAAAGCTAAAGAAATACGATTTTAAGGTAGGAAAATGGGAGAGTGACCTTTAAAGGAATACTCAAAATTCACTAAGTCTTGAAGTCCTTAATAGGTTTTCATAGACTTTTTAAACAATAAGGAAAGTCTGAAATATGAAATTGTATAGCCACTCAGAATTCTGGGAGAAAGCCTGAGAAATAAATCAGCACATTGGTAATTTTTAACAGCAAATCATGTTCTCACCATTAAGCCTTCAGAAAAAAACTCTATCACCTATTACCATTGCAATGCTGTAAGGACTAAGCAGGTCACAAAAGTTGTCACAGAACCTAGCGTTTGAACCTAGCACCTCCTGCTATTCAAAACCTTTTGTCAGGTTGCTTTAAAGGGAGTGGGTACTCTTGCAGCATTATGAAGAGATACCACCCTGAAATTTCAGGTATCTGGCACCTGGTCATATTATTAGGTAATTTCTTCATTATAAAATAGTGCCTGGGATCTCCACCCCATTCCAGCTTGGATTTTCTGCAATACTACAACACACTTGTTTTGTAGGTCAAAGATGCGCTGGCATTCCTCTTTGTAACGCTCTTGATGCTCAGCCACAGAAAACCTTGATCCACGGGCAAATTTACTCATGGGCCCCTCTCCAGAGCGGGCTTGTTCTGTTGACATTGTGCGTACCACATCAATCACTTCCCAGCGGGACAACTTTTTAATCTACGAGAGAGAACAGACACATGCACACATATACAAATCATTCAGGGACTTCAAAGGACAAACCAAGGCATACAGAGAGTAGAACAAAAAATGAAAATTTTCACCCAAAGCAGATTAAACAGAAAACTAAACTCCTCAAAAAGTACCCAATACCCAGTCTACTACAAGCTATAGTATACCACAGGTTTCTCTAGCTAAATTTCTTACATGTGCCTCCTAGTTTTGCCTCTCTATACAGAGTTCCTAGATGCCTCTGTTTTCCTCTTTTACACTCACCTCTTCCTCAGGCACACCAAATTTACGGAGCAGTTGCTTGGCATTTTTCAGAGAAAGGCGACGAAGGTCTGCATCTGTTCCTGTAACTGTCTTTTTCACTGGCTGAGGCTCCTTATCATCCTACCTCAAAAACAAAACAAAAAAGCAAGAATCCTAGTAAGTTGAACTCATTATAGAAGGCATCTAAATCATTCTGTTAAATGCTTTCCAGATCATTCACCTTACTCATCTCTTCTCCTAAATTCCCATTTCTTCCTCCCTTGATCTTCACCTTCTAAAAATTTAGTCTCACCTTCTGCTGTGTTGGTTTGTTTGGAATTTTCACATAGGAGAACCCTTCACCACATCCTGTGGGATCTGCCACCCCAGTCACCTCCAAGAGACACTTTCCCTTCATGGCAGCAATGAAGGCCCTTGTAGTATTCCAAGGTGCAGTGCGAACCTGTGATACAGAAAAAGATTCTAAGGGCTACTGGGAACATTTGTTTTGACTACCAATATTTACAAGACTGGAATAATCCAAAAATGTACAATTTGATATTTCTTTCAACTGTCCACAAAAAATAGGTACATAAAGCAGCCCAGCACTCGGTCTCCTGTTCTTTTTCCCTATACTACTTAAAAATCATGATATTCGAGAAGAAGACCTCAGCCAGGATAAAAAGAATATGTGGAATAGCCCTATACCAGTTGGGCATCAGTAGGCATCTCAAAGAAAGTATAGCTCCAATTCTCATGATGCTCCAAAGAGTTGTTACGTTGATGACCGCATTGATTGTCCAATTGCTGATATGGCTTCTTAAAATGATTCATATATTCTCATAATTAGCAATGACAAGCTTTCTAAAGCAATGGCCCAGCCCTAGAAGTATTATACTGCCATTCTACCTATGCCACTGGTTTGGTCAAAAAACAGTCTTCTGGGCCCTCCCTGGTGGCGCAGTGGGTTAAAGCACTGCACTGAGAATCTAAAGCCACTTCCGCATGAGTTCGATTCCCGCCTGCCCCGGAGGAGTCCACATGGGGAGGCAGACCTCTCCTGACCCGCCCGCTGCTCCCCTTAGCAGTGTACTTCATAGATCTGCCTGTTCTGCTCCCCATTCTGTCTCTGGTGAAGCCTCTCACCGCCCCTGAGCCTCTGGTCTGTACCCCAGTTCTGTATGCACAAATAAATAAATCTTTAAAAAAAAAAAAAACAGTCTTCTACTGGAACCCGAACTAGTGTTTACTAATACCACACAATAATCAAGGAATAAGACAACGGGAATATGCTTTATCCACACAGAGCAATTAAAAGTATAATTGGGCCCTCCCTAATGGCCTAAGGGTTAAGTCTCAGCACTATAACCACTATGGCATGAATTTGATCCCCAACCAGAGTGCTAACCAACATATAGATCAGCAGACCTCTCCTGTATAGCTCACTGCTCCCCTTGACAGCGTACTTCAGTAGATCCTCCTGTTCTACTCCCCAATCTGTCTCTGGTGAGTCCTCTTACCCCCCAACCACATGCACAGCTGGCCTACACCCCAGAGATGTTCTATGTATAAAAAATGCTTATTTAAAAAAAATTGGAGAATTTTTTTAAAAAAAGTATAATCAGGGCCCCCCCCCCCCCGGTAGCACAATGGGTTAAAGTGCAGCACTATGAAGCTATCACAGCCAATGCAGCACGAGTTCAATTCCTGGCCAGGAAGGTGACCCACATGGCACAGCAGACCTCCCCTGACCCACCCACTGCTACCCTCAGCAGTATATTTCAGTCAATCTGCCTGTTCTGCTCCCCACTGTCTCTGATGAATCCTCTCACCCACTGCACCTCTGGCCTGTACCCCAGTTCTGTACGTATAAATAAATCTTTAAAACAAAAGTATAATCAGGATTCAATCTTGAAGGCCATTCGACAGAATCCTTAATTTCTGAAATCCTTAGCTAGCCACTCATTTCTCACTCAAACCTCTAAAGAACAAACATACAACCATGCTTAGTCTGGGCTCATTTACAATTGTTTATTCATTTAACAAGTTTTTACTGAATGACTACCGCATGTAGGCCCTATTTTCTCATGGACTTTGTGTTAGTGAAGAGGAATAACCAACCAAATTTAAAACTGCATAATCACTGCCATGATAGGACTGTAAAGAGTGCTATATGTACATAAAAAAGGGAAGGATAATGATACAACCTAAAGAAAGAATGGGAGTGAGGTCAAGAGAATATACTTCCAAGAGAATATAGCTTCTAGATAAAAGATAGTATAGGAGTAAATATATATTCTAGACAGAGGGATTCTTAAGAAGATCTTAAGACATGGGTGACCAAAGAAAGTTTGGGCTATAGAGTGACATCAAATTTTTGTTTTAATTTAAAAAATAAAAAAGATCATTCAGGGACCTCCCTGGTGGCACAGGGGTTAAAGGCACAGCACTAAAAAGCAACTGACAGCAACCATGGCAAGAGTTCTATCCCCTAGGCCAGCCAGTGACCTAACCCACATAGTGCAGCACACCTCTCCTGTTTCTAATTGCTCCCCTCAGCAGTGTCTTTTAGTAGATCCTATTCTGCTCCCCACTGTCTCTGATGTATCCTCTCATCTACCACACCTCTGGCCTGCACCCCAGTTCTTGTATATATAAATAAATAAATCTTTAAAAAATCATTCAAGGCCCTCCCTGGTGGCGCAGCAGGTTAAAGCACAGCACTGAGAGGTTAAAGCCACTTCCGCATGCGTTCGATTCCTGCCTGCTCCTGGAGGTGACCACATGGAGTGGCAGACCTCTCCTGACCCGCCTGCTGCTCCCCTTAGCAGTGTACTTCCTCGATCTGTCTGTTCTGCTCCCTGTTCTGTCTATGGTGAAGCCTCTCACCTCCCCTGAGCTTCTGGCCTGTATCCCAGTTCTGGATGCACAAATAAATAAAAATTTTTTTTAAATAAAATAAAAAATAAATTTAAAAAAATCATTCAAAACTTTTAAATAAATGGTGCTACAATAATTGAGCATTCATAAGCAGAAAAAGGAATTTTAATGCCCTATCTTACACCCTTTACAAATATAAATTCAAAATGCTCAAAATATAAAGCACTAAAACAATGTTTAGAAGAAAACATTGGAGAAAATCTTTGTGAACTTGAGTTAGGTAATAATTTCTAAGATACAGTGTATCTTTTGCAACACAGAAGACTGACAAATTGAACTTCTCAAAAGACAAGTCACAGGGCCCTCCTTGGTGGTGCAACGTTAAAGCACAGCTCTACAAAGCTAGCAGTAGCCGCTTCAGAATGAGTTCAATACCCCGCCAGGGAGGTGAAACACAGGGTATGGCAGACCTCTCTCAACCCATCCGCAGCTCCCCTCAGGAGTTATTTCAATACATCTGCTTATACTGCTCCCCACTCTGTCTCTGGTGAAATCTCGCACCCACAGCACCTCTGGCCTATACTCCAGTTCTTATATGCATAAATAAATCAATCTTAAAAAAAAAAGAAAATATAAATCAAAACTATGATGAGATGCCAACTCAAACCCACGAAAATAGGTACTATCAAAAAGACAATCAATAAGAAGTGTTGGCAAGATTGTGAAGGAATTAAAACACATAAATACAACTGACAGGAATGTAAAATGGTATAACTACTTTGGAAAAGGGAGGCTCCTCAAAAAACTAGAGATACTGTATGATTCAGTAATCTCACTTCTCGGAATATATACAAAAGGTTTGTAAGCCGGGCCCTCCCTGGTGGCGTACAGGGTTAAAGCACAGCACTTCGAAGCTAGCTGCAGCCACTTCAACACAAGTTTGAACCCCAGTTGGTGAGGTAACCCACATGGCGCAGGAGACCTCTTCGGTCTTGCCCGCTGCTCCTCTCAGCAGCGTACTTTACTTTGTCAATATGCCTACTCTGCTCCCCACTCTGTCTCTGGTGAATCCTCTCGCCACCCATGCACCTCTGGCCTGTACCCCAGTTTTACATGCATAAGTAAATAAATCTCTTTTTAAAAATGTTTGAAAGCCTATTCACAATAGCTAAGAAGTGGTAGCAACCGAAATGTCCATGGATTAAGGGATAAAATATCGCACATAAAACCAGACATCACTTAGTAAAAATAATACATTTTGAGAAAAAAAATGTGTTACTGGGTAATTTCATCATTGTACAAATGTCATGAAGTACACTTAAACAAATTTACAAGGTTTGGTCTACTATATACCTAGTCTATATATAAAACCAGTCATTTATGTGGTCCATTGCTGACTAAAGCATTGTTACACAGTGCATGACTGTACATAAAAAGAACTTTTAACTGTGATAAGGAAATTCTGACACATATAAAAGCATAAATAAATGTTGCGGATATTATGCTAGATGAAATGAACCACATAAAAACAAATATTGTATGATTTCACGTATGCAAATTATGCAGAATAGTAAAATTCACAGAAAGAAAGCAGACTGGTGATTGCCAGGGGCTTAGGAAGGGAGGAATGGGGACTTATTGTCTAGTAGCTAATAAAGGTTCAGTTATACAAGATAAAGAGTTCTGGAAATAGGTTATATAATAATGTGAATGTACTTAACACTACTGAACTGTATCCTTAAAGGTTAAGATGGTAAGTTCTAAGTCATACATATTTCACAATTCAAAAAATATAAGTGTACAGAGTTTAATTCCATTTACCTAAAATTTTAGAAAAAGCAAATTAATCTGTAATGACTGAAAGCAGATCAGTGGTTACCAGGAAAGAGGGAGGGTGAAGAGAAGGAAAAGAGACAGGAGGAGGGCCTCCCTGGTGGCACAGGGGTTACATCACAGCACTATCAAGCTATCCTTAGCCACTGCAGCATAAGTTCAATCCCCAGCCAGGGAGTTGACTTACATACGGCCAATAGACTTCTCCTGTCTCACCCTCTGTTCCCCTCAGCAGTGTATTTCAGTAGATCTGCCTGTTGTGCTCCCCACTCTGTCTGGTGTATCCTCTCACCCCCACACCTCTGGCCTACACCTGTTCTTATATGCAGAACTAAACATAAGCCTTAAAATAAAAAAGCAGGAAGAAGGAACATCAATGGAGCAAAAAGAAACTTTTGGGGTCAACAGATACACTCATTATCCTGTCATGAGTATTTCACAGGCATAATCATACCTTAAAACTTGGCTTGGTGGCCCTCCCTGGTGGCGCAGCAGGTTAAAGCACAGCACTGAGAATCTAAAGCCGCTTCCGCATGAGTTCGATTCCCGCCTGCCCCAGAGGTGACCACATGGTGTGGCAGACCTCTCCTGACCCGCCCGCTGCTCCCCTCAGCAGTGTACTTCGTTGATCTCCCTGTTCTGTTCCCCACTCTGTCTCTGGTGAAGTCTCTCACCACCCCTGAGCCTCTGGCCTGTACCCCAGTTCTGTATGCACAAATAAATATATCTAAAAAAAAAAAAAAAAAAAACTTGGCATGGTTACCAGTGGGAACAGAGAGTAGGGAAAAGAGAATGAGGGAGGGAAATAGATAATGGCATTAGCACCAGTGGCCTGGTAGAGGATAAGTGGAACGTGCACATATGGAGAAGTAAAACTATAACCTCAAAATTATAATAAATATAGAATAGCAAGGAAAAAATAACAAAGACTACACTTTAAATACCTACAGTTGACAAAAACCAAGTACAGTTTACTGTGTATCAATCAGAGCTCAATAAGACTATTTTTAAAAAGGATAAATGTCACATACTAATATAGATTAGTGTAAAGCCTTACTTCATCATCAATCTTCATCTGGAAATCTTCCTCATTTTCTTCTTCTGGAGCAAAAAAGGACTTCTCACCATAGCCAGCATCCTAGAAGAGAACATAAACAGTCAATAAACAAGTTTCACTGAATACCAAATACTGAGTATCACATAGCATTTTGCATAGAAATAAAATATTACCATTATACATCACTAGGCTATAAGAAGATATTTCAAGAAACTCCATAAGGAAGCTAAATAGATTCTCATTAGCCAGGACTCATTAACTCAGTGGTACAGAATTATGCCATTCCAACCCAGCTAGAGCTTTCTTACTTTGACTTGATAAGGATACTACTATGCTTCTCTAAACCACATAGCCACTGTCGTCATCATCATCATCATCTCTGCCTACCGGGAATATGTGGAAACAACTGACAAGTACTTTTCCCTGTTTGCACACCTGTCTTGTAAAGAACAGAGATTAAAGTCCCCAAATGGATGAGCAACCGTTTTCAAAGCAAAATAATAGGTCCTATGTTCCTCACTAAGTCTTCCCACTAAGTTTTAGCTCTACTACAGTTTTCTCCACAACTGATCTAGCGTACTTCAAATTTTACATAATTGGTAATCATCTAGTAATCATTTCTAAGCTAATGAGAATAAGCTTTACCCTCATCTCTAGAAAACCTGTGGACATAAGCAGTGCCTGAAAGGAAGGTGTTCACCTTCAGTCGCTGTTCTGCAGCTATCATGCTGTAATAAGCACAGCATTGCTCTGGAGACACCATAGCTCTGATCTCCTCTTCAGTTGGTAAACGAAAATCAGACTTCAGCACCCACCAGTTTGAGTCCATCCCTAGAAAAGTGAGAATGAGACCATTCTGAATTCCAAAGGCCCTTTCATTAACAACAGGGACAGCAAACCAAGACTAAACCAGGCAATATCCTAGAAGTTAACAGGCCTAATCACAGTTGGCCTGACTGTCTGACCAAGAAAACACCTGCTGCCAGATTTCCTATACCTCATTAAAGATACTCAATAGTCACACTGAATTTCCTAGCAGACAAAATTAAAAAGCAATGCTACCTCCTCCTTTTGATACCTCAACTGTCATACTGAATTTCCTAGCAGACAAAATTAAAAAAGCAATACTACCTCCTTCTTTTGATACCTCAACAGTCATACTGAATTTCCTAGCAGACAAAATTAAAAAGCAATGCTACCTCCTTCTTTTGATAGCTATCAACTTCTATTTCTTTTTCATTAACTGTATGATACCCTTAACTGAAAGCAATCATTATTCTTTTCTTGGTGAAGGACAAAAGGACAAAAATAATCGATCACAACTGATGACCTGTGCGTTTAAAATCAGCGCAAAGCTTTAGCCTCTTGCGGATGCTGCTTTCTGAGTGGGAAGGAAAGGCTTTTTTTATGTCTTCCATTCGGATCCGACGTGGCCGATCTTTACTCTTCCAAAAAAGGCGGTAAATAAAAACCTGCACAACAATTCAAATGTTTTGTATTTACCAAAATAATAAAAGGATAAAGGTCCTCACCAGGACCTCTTCCTCAACTAAGCCCTTATGTATTTTTGATGTGTATCCCCAAATCCAGATACCTTTTTACTCTTACCTGGAGAAAGTCTCGAATATGTGTATTGGCCCTTTTAGAGTTGGGACCAGGAACTTCAAACAAGGGGCACTGCTGGCCAACCACAAAAATATCTACTAATTCCCGAATATAGTAACCTTGTCTTGTCCGAATGATAAGGAAGTCAGTTTCTGGCATCTTATGAAGATAAATTGGGGCACGAAAAAGGTTGTTCTCAAATGCCTACCAAAAGTGAAAACAAAAAATTATAGAGGGAATCCCTAGAAAATTTATAGTCAATAATAAGAAAGGAAAATCAAGCTTGCTTGCTCTCCAACTATACCGTCTAAGATACATCCAGTAGTATAAACAAATTATAATATGGAATATCAAACAGGAACATAGTCTGTTACCTACTGGCTTGTTACTTTTAAGAGTTAGTAGTGGGGAAAAAAAGAGTTAGTAGTAGAAACTACAGGATTTAGGTTCAGATGACACTGGCTCTGCTATTCACTAAATGATGTTAAATAAGTCATTTAATATCTGAATTTGTTTCATAAAATAGAAATGTTTAGTATTTATATTTCACAAGGATTGAAAATTATATAGGCAGTTATGTTATAAACAAATAAGCACTATCCTACTACCCTTCTAAGCCTATACTAGACCTCAGCCTATCCCAATGGTGTATAATTGAGATAAAAATTAAGGGCCCTCCCTGGTGGCACAAAGGGCTAAAGCACAGCACTATGAGGCTATCCTCAGTCACTGCATCACGGTTAGAGCCCCAGCTAGGGATATGAACCACATGGTATGGCAGCTCCCCTCAGCAGTACAGTTCGTCAATCTGTCTGTTATGCTCCCCACTCTGTCCCTGGTGAATTCTCTCACCCCTTGCACCTCTGGTCTGTACCCCAATTCTTGTACACACAAAAAATAAACCTTAGGCCCTCCCTGGTGGCACAGCGGGTTAAAGCACAGCACTGAGAAGCTACCACTTCCACATGAGTCAGATCCCCGCCTGGCCCGGAGGTGACCACATGGCATGGCAGACCTCTCCTGACCCGCCCACTGCTCCGCTCAGCAGTGTACTTCGACGATCTGCCTGTTCTGCTCCCCACTCTGTCCCTGGTGAATCCTCTCACTGCCCCTGTACCTCTGGCCTGTATCCCAGTTCTGTATGCATAAATAAATAAATCTTAAAAAAATAAAAAATAATAAAAATAATAAACCTTAAAAAATTAAAATACTAAATAACAGAAACAGCTAACAAAGAACAATATGGTCTAGAGAAGAGAGACTAAACACACAGGACAGAAATATTTGAGTTTATCTAAAAAACCCCAGGTAGACAGGATTAACTGTCAAAAGAAGGCAATGATTCTAAGGAAAGACTTCTTAGAAAGTGGGAAAAGGAGGACAGGAAGAGAGAGGCTCTTCAATATGTAGGTGTGCAAAGTAGGTTCTAAATGTGAAATGCAGAGAGAAAAAATATTAGAAGATTAAAAAGAGGGTCTTTAAGATGACTCAAAAGTAGTCACACACAAAAAAAGAGCTGGTTAAAAAAAAATCTCAACAGAAAGCTACAGGGAAAGGAATGCCAAGGACAGTATAGCTAAAATATGGTGGGAAATGAACTACATATGTAAAGAATAAAGAAAAAATGAGCCTTTATAGAATCTATAGGAGAATAAGCAGTAATAATAATGGAACAAACTAGGGTCAAGAGCTTTGCCAAGACAAATGAAGGTAAAAAACAAAACAGAAGAGTGTGAGACATCCCCTTACATCATTGGTAGGCCCTCTATATAGTCCCTGAGTAAAAGCTAGATTACCAGAGGTACTTTCTATGATCTATCAGGAAAGAGAGAGGGGGAAAATTCATTTCAATATGGATGGGAACTATAAATGATATATGGTTCAATACTCGAAATGGGCGCAAATAATATCAAAACATGTCAATTTTACACATATAAATCAAATGTTCACAAATTACTACAGTAAATTAATAACAAGTTGACATCCCTACAACATCCAGGTATTTCTGAACTTCTAACCAGTGTGTATTTTCAGAAAACTATTTTAAATTTATCTTAACTATACAATCAAGAATCCATTTTAATAAATACAAAAAGAAACTCAGTTCTGTTACAAAAAAAGTATTAGGGGAATTACAATCACTTTAGGATTACACTGATATTCTTTACACCTGATAAATGAATAGTCTCTGAACTAGAACTGGTTCTTTTTAGACTTACTACTTATCTGTCCATTTCCTTACAAAAGAATTTTAATAAAATAATTCCTCACCTGTAATAACTGGCCAGGATGGAGAGAGCCCAGGAAAGGAGATGTATGGCAATAAACAGTTTCTCCATATTTACAATCTGGAGCTCCAGGATCTTTTCCAGGTTTCTAAAGAACATAGCATATCCAGTTACTATCATAGAATATAATTCTATAAGCATGGCATTTTACTATTACCAACTACAAAAAAATATATACCAATATATTTCTCCCAAGAAACTGAATAGTATATACAAAACATATGTTCACAGATTATCACTGGATGGCTACAATTATAGTAACAACAAAGACTTTTGAGCACTCACCCGCTTATAGTAGTTTTTTATCTTGGTTGCCATGCCAACCTGCATCATCAAAGGTCCATTTTCTTCACTGTATTCTGCAAGAATAAGGTCTCCATCTTTGCCTGTGAGGTCCTGAGGTGTGCGCATAAAAAACATCTCTCCACCACCTGAAGCTTGCCTCTCTTGTTCTCTCATCTGCCCAAAACAAAAATACAGTCCATAGTGCTGATAACTACATACACATTCTGAGACAATGACACCAGAACAGCGTTACCTTGCTGTTTTCCTAATTTCATTGCAAAATTTCTAAAGTGCAAAGAGTAATACTATAGATACTTATTATCCTACCACCTAAATTTATATGTAACCTGCTGTGTTCTTTATAACTCCCTATATATTTTGCAAAAAAAACATTTTTAAAAGTTTCAGTCATGACACTTCACCCATTTAAGTTTTTGTGCATACATCCCCTAAGAATATGCACATCGTCTGAAATAACCACAATAGTATTCCATTACATCTGAGAAAATAAGCAGAAATTCTCTAATATCATCTAACATCCAGGCTGTTCCCCTAACTTGTACTCCGATGTCTTTTATAACTGCCCATTTTGTAATCAGGATTCAGTCATACCTTGGCCTTCTTTTTGATATGCTTTAGCAAGGGCTGGACTGAGTGGGGCCCTGGCTGTGATAGTGCCCCAAATGAGTACTTTTTCAGAGGTGGACGATGGAACTGCCGGAGTTTGATGGGCCCCATGTGGGTGGGAAAAAAGGGCTGACGTAACTCCACAGCAGGAATTGAGTGCTAAAACAGGAAATATAAGGGTTCGAATTAAATATTAAGTCCAGCCTAAGCAAGATTTGTCCCTATGTGCCAAGAAAATAAAACAACAGTTCCCGGCCACCACCAAAAATAAGTGTTACTTTTACCTGAATAATATTGCCTCCAAAGGTGCCTCGAAGACCCTGCTGCTTAGGGTAGTAATATTCATCATTGGAGAGATTCCATGGATCTTTCACTTCTGGCTGAGACATATTCTAATGAGAGATCATCAAGGAAACCTTAGTCAGAATACTCTTCTCCATTTACTTTTCTTTGTTCTTCTGTAACACCAAGTCCTTTTTCCCTTCACACACCTGCTGTGGTTCCTCCTTGATAACACCTGTTTTCCCTAAGAGAATTCGACTCTTCTTCAGAGACGATTCCTTCTTACTCTCCTTAGAAGGGGAATTGGAAGTGGCCTCCTCTTTCTCATCAGGGATTTCTGAGGATGAAAAGAAATGCGACTCTGGAGTTGCTACCCCTGAAGATTCACCTTTCCTACAACTATCTTTGCAGCTTCTAACCAGATATCTCATCCCGCCTCAGGCCACGTTACAAACTACACTAACCAAACTACACTCCTGACATCACAAAGGTACTATTTCACATCATTTCTGTATGTGTTTTCCCTAAACAATACACAAATGCTAGAAAATGACAGTCACAATTTTATTCCCTGAAAATGCTACCTAGGAGGTTCTAATCTTGACCTTCCCAACCCTTCACAATTCTACCCACCTATAAATGTTAGCAGCCAACTGTCAATTATAGAGGAGAAACACTGAGCCCCGCCAGTAACATACCCAAAATGAGGTTCTCGTCATTGGGGTCCAGTGTCAACACAGGAGGTTCCAAGAGCCGGGGCATAGCTTGAGCATCCCAAATGATGTTGTCCTCCCAGCGTCCATAAACTAGCTCCTCATTGTCGATGGGAAAAATGGAGTACCAAGGTTTGTCATCATCCAATGTGGCAGCAAAGCCTAGTTAAAACAAGAGGAAACACTCAATATTTGAACCTCTTTCAAGCATGACTCTAGCAAAAGGAAAAGGAATAACTGTTAGCCAAGTTACTTATGTGACTATGGAAAAGGAACCTAGTGGACAGTGTACTTTTCATTGAAAACACTGCTGGACACAATATATTTCCTTTTCTCCCAATCCTCTTTTTAATCACTAAATTCAACAGACAAAGAAGACTGTAAAATTGCTACAGAAGTTTCTAACAAACTATCAATTACTATGTTTACCTTATGACCCAGTAACAAGTGGTTCAAGGAGGGACCCAAGCTTGTAGAATACACTTTGAGTTATGCAGATGTTGGCTGTGACAAAGTCATCAGAGAACTTAGGCACACACAGTGTATTTCTTACTTAAAACATTGCAAACAAAAATGTACATTGCAGTATATTTTACACTAGTCACAATTTAAGCCGTCAAAAGTTTAAGGGACTTGTTAAATAAATTTCAGTAATCTGCTAACAATAACTGGCAGTAAGATATATATTTCAAATACAACAATCGACAAATTAGAAAACATCCATGTCAGAATATTATGTAACCAGTGTTTCGAATGGAGAAAGGTGGGGGAAAAAATCTATTTCATAGATTTAAAAGATACTCATTTTTCTTGAATTATAGATGTATTCGGGTTAAAATGAGTATTTAAAAAGTATAAAAAGGAATAAAGAAAACTGAAGCTGACTGTGATCTTACTGTGAACCCATTAGTATATTTTCTTTTAGTCAGCTTTCTATGCCTACATAGCGTGCTTTTTAAACAACTTACAACAAATATGATACCAAATAAGCCGTTTTATGTTTTTTCTCATTTTATGCTTTTCTGACATTTAAAATTATTTTCCCATGTCATTAAACAATTGTGGAGAACATTGAAAACACATAATGTTTACGTTAAGTGAAAAAGCACTGCATATAAAATTGTATCTATGTTAATGAGCTCAACTACATATACACACAGAAGACAAAAAACTGAAAATTTACCAAAAAGCTAACAGTTGATAATCTCTGGATAAGATTACCAATGATTTTTGACAATGTCTTTATTTTCAAAGTTTTCTACATTAAGCACACAGCATGATCTCCACCTCCCCTTCCCCCATTTAAGGAGCAAATACACACATTCTAGAATGATAAAGACAAAGAGGTATTGGAAACAAAAGCAGACTATAACGCATTATTATAATTCAGAAAGGTCTTATTCAAGTGGTTTTTGCCTTTTCCTAATGAGAAATTACAGTCCATCCTAGCTCATTAATTGTGTAAAAAAATGTATAATTATTACAGACTAGAAATCAGGGCTGAGATCTAAAACACTTCACTGTCCCTCAACAACAGCAAAGAAATACCTAAACCCACTTAGGATGACTGAGATGAAGGGCAGTGTGCTGGGCAGAGCTGGCATAGAAGCACACCTTGCTGAACATTGTAAGCCATGGCATTCCTAGTCATGCTGGAAGGAAGCCAGCCTGCCAGGCTTGCACGCTGAGGTTTTGTCCCTTTGTGTTTGACATCCTCCCCATCCCAGATGATGTCATCCTCCCAATGCAGTTGTGTCACCATCAGGAAGTTTTCATCAGCCAGAAGATCACTGCCATTGCTTTCCTCAAGTTTCCTAAACTCCTGTAGAAGTAGGGAAGGAACAACAAATCCCTGAATGATCACTAGTCAATGTTCCCACGCCAAATCCCACATCAGATACATCAAATGTAGTCCTTGACTTGAAATAACCTGAAAATGGAGGAATATTTATTTCCTCCTATTCTTCATCAGTCAACACACTCAATTCACAAACAGAATCTTTGCAAAGGGGCCTAGGTCCCAGGGTGATAACAGCATACCAAGAAAAGGCCAAAAATACTTAAGTTTCCCACCAAGTCTCTCCCCAACTGAAACATAAAGCAAAGGCTATGGGCACACTGATTCCTTTCTTACATACCAACACTGCTTACCTCCATCATTCTACATTTCATCAAAGGTTCATGTTCCAGCTTTCTCAGTTTGAAGCCATAGTCAAACCCACTGCCATCTTCAGGGACACCCAACATATCATACCACAGTCGGGCAGGCCCATACCGCCACTCTGCCACTCTTGGTTTGGTATCGGTCACTTTATCTATATCTCCACTTGACTGGGAAAACTTGGACTCCACAGGAGCCATCATTGTGATCTGTAACAGAATAAAGTAGTAGAAGGGGGTAGAGGAATTCTCCTGATCCCAGATGTCCTAAGACTACAGGGAGTTTAAAAGGCAGGGCGGGGGAACTAAGAAGCGTGTGGATGATTTCTGAACAGGACTGGAATTAGAATATAAACAATAGAGGTATATCACAGCACACTGTCACTCAAAGCTTCCTATTCACCCTCTGCCAAACCCTAAAACTTTTCTACTACAAATGAACTCATAATTACTCATTGGTAATCATAATCAGCACAGAACTCTGCCAGCTGAGGTGTTATTTCCAATATAGACATACACTAGGAAAAACTAGTTTGTTCCCCTTGTAGGTGTTAAATCTAGGTCTCTATTTTGCCTACTTCATCATCAGAGAGACACTGCTCTGGAGGAGGTGGTGGAGCATAGTCGTAGTTCCACAAAGACTTCTGGTCAACTTCTGATTCTACCAAGCACTCCACCTCCTGCATCTGTTCTTCCTGTATCAGCTCACGGTGCTTCTTTTTCCTCTTTCTTCGAGCACTTCGCCAAACAGATGGGACATTCTTCCCTGGTCCAAAAAGACGTAGGAAGCGTAACACCTAGAACAAAGAACATGTTACCATGTCAGAGACTGTCAGATAAGGAAAAAAGTAGCAAATAGGTTTGGAAACTCCCTTCAAGGATCTACTCAACTGAAGGGACCGAACGAGGAATGCCAAACTCAGATTTATACCATCTATCAAGAAAGTAAAGATGTGTCCTTTAATAATTAGTTATTTTAAAACAACAAAAACAATTTCTAATGAGGACTATATAAATCACATATATTAACAAAACATACACCATTAAAAATAAGACCTAATACATTATCATTGAATAGGAAAATATTTAGCTCTTATCCATTAGATAGTTAACATCTTAAGAACGAAATTCAGTATTTAGAAGAGATCAATGGCTTGCAGTGTAAGCATTCTCCATAGAAAGTACCTTCCCAGGCCGAAATTCTGGGAAAAGTTCTGTGACACTTGGCAACAGCTTGGTGGCATCATGCTGCATAATCCCAGCCAATGGTAGGGTCAGCTTTCCATCCTCAGATTCTGCCTGTGTTGCTTCCTGAGGTCCCATCTCAGATTCTGAGTCAGAGGAACTACTGTAGTCCACTTTCTCTGAGGCCAAAGAGGAAGGGGCAATGATGGAGGGCAAGATGATGCCTTCTCCATCCTCAGACACTGAAACAAGGAAGAGAAACCCCTTTGGCATGTAACTGTGAGCATATTTCCTTGGATTCAGCCAACACCCTTTCTAGGTTATATGCATGACTCAATGGCAGGGGTATAGTTCCAAGTTCCCAAATTACTATATAACCCCCAAAACTCCTTCCAATTCATTATCTCCCACCATTCCCAACTCACCTGGGACTTGGTACCCTAGGGTTGTGAACAGAGAAAACAAACACTATTACTACATTTACTACTTTCTATTAGTATATCAGGTTAAAGGAATGTGACCAATAACAAAATTATGCAACACTTTACACTAGTCAGACCATATTACGACCAGTTCAGAGACCCATAGCTGGACATTCTTTTAAGCCCACAGGGTAACAGTGGAACTGCTTAGTATAAAATAAGACACATGACATAAAGTTAACAGGTAACTAACTACTTAGCCTGCTGACTAAAAAAGAAATGACTTAAACTCTGATAGAAATTTAGGATTTATGTTTCAGGAACACAAGACTCAAAAAATAGCAGATCAAAGACACCACTCCTCCCTAATCTTCTAGAACAGGTTTCTATTATTGCAGTCATAGGGATAGGTGAGATGGTTACTGAAGACCCAGTCTTTGAATTGTCTGAATCTGGTAGTGGGCTCTATATAATTTATATATGTTCTAGGGTACCTTCCTCATTCAATCATTTCTTTTAAAGTCATCTCAACAGGTAGTGTCCAAATATCAGTATGCAATCAGTTACATAAAAAATTACCTGGGTACTTTTTTGAATTCCTGGCCTTTACCCCAGATCTTCTGAAACATTCTCTCCAGAGATATGAGTTGGAAGTGTGTATTTGTATTAAAGACTGAGGTGATTCTGAGGGACAACCAGATTTGAGAATCACTCAGATTTGAGAGACCTAAGTTACTTTTTCTTGAGCACATGTTAAAACTGCTTTGCCAGATGTTTTAAAAATAAACTTCCCTTTAACACAGAAAATTATATGAACTGCTTCTGGATGTTGTATCCTTTCCTAGCTGCTTAATTTTAATAGTCCCCTAAGTATCCTAAAAGCCTGGAATTAATGAATGCAACTAGTTTCTTAGACAAAAGAAGACAGCCTCTACTTACCACCAGTAATAGCATCCTGGTCCTTATCCTTCTTCATTGGTCCAGGGGGAGGAGGTGGAGGAGGCATCAACTTGCAATCAATGTCTTCACAATCAGCATCATAGTCATCTTCATCATAATCTATTAAAATCAAGAAAGGGGCCCTCCCTGGTGGCGCAGCGGGTTGGAGCACAGCACTGTGAAGCTGGCTGTGGTAGTTTCAGTGAGTTCAGTCCCCTAGCCCAGAGGTGGTGCACATGGTGTGGCAGACCTCTCCTGACCTGCCTGCTGCTCCCCTCAGCAGTGTACTTTGTCTGCCTGCCTGTTCTGCTCCCCACTCTGTCTCTGGTGAATTCTCTCACCGCCCCTGCACCTCTGGCCTGCACTGCAGTTCTGTATGCATAATATTTTTTAAGTGTAAGTCCTTAAAAAAATCGAAAAGGTGTATTTCGGGGATCATTTCAATACTTCGTTACTGAAACCAAGAAGATGACCTTAGTACCCAAACTATCACAGAACAGCCTTGAGTACCCTCATCAGTCAAGGACTTAAAGCACCACATGAAACACTATGTGCATCCCTTAAGAACACACTGAGATGCAGCTTCTGCCTTCAAAGAGATGGCATCATGGTAACAACTGGTGTAACACTATGTATAGCTCAACAGGAAGTCAGAAAATTCTCAAGAACTATTTAAAATCTTTCTTCCTAATCAAATCCTGTTTACTTTTTATTTCCACCTTGCTTAATTTAATAATCTATCATTTTTCCTTTGAGTGGACTTCTCAGCCCATTTTTGATACACTGTTACTGTCTACATTTTGAATTTGTTACTCTTTTCATTGCCCTCTAGTCACTGGTATCCATTCCCTTCCTCAAGAATCACCTTTATCCAGGGCCAACCTGGTGGCACAAGAGGTTAAAGCACTACACTGTGAAGCTATCCATAGCCACAGCAGTACAGGTTCAATCTCCAGCCAGGGAGCTGATCTACATGGCATGGCAAACCTCTCGTGTCTTGCCCACTGCTCCCCTCAGCAGTGTATTTCAGTCCATCCATCTACCTGTTCTGTTCCCCATTGTCTCTGGTTAATCTTCTCACCCCCCTTCTGGTCTGTACCCCAGTTCTTGTATGCATAAATAAATCAATCTTAAAAAAAAAAAGAATCACCTTAATCCAGATTAAACCCAAAACTACCTATCTTGCCCTGACTTAGCCCCTCTAAAGTGCAATGCATGTTCTGTCGCCTAAAGAACTGTTCCACTTAAATATTAAACCACATTTCCTATCATATTAAACAACCACATTTCCAATCACACTTTTATAAATTAAGAAAAACTTCTTGATAGTATCACTAACATCATCATTTCCACAGCTTTAGTCTCCTCTCTACATCAATCTCTTACCACTCCCACCCCCTCACACACCTTTTCCAATCATTAATAGCAGTCGTGGCAACTTTAATTTTTAAAGTTCCACTATGTGCCACATGTTTATAGCTATTTTACCTGTAATCCTTTCAATGATGTTGCAAAGTAAATATTGAAATACAGAAAACAAGTGACTTACTCAGGGTGACATACATAATGAAGTCAAAATTCAAGCCTGCTTTAACAATAAAAAGCCGGTATTATGTCCCACACTTCTTCACTCACAAAGTCCTAATAATATTTTATCAGCAACGCTCTCGCTGATCCTTTAACTTTCTACAACTGTCACTCTACTCCAGATCTTGATAACTCTACATCTAGCCTTCACAGGCTAGCTGTGACAATCTCCAAGTTAATCTGCTCCTTTACCCTTTTCCTTATCAAAACCTCAAAAGAACTACCAGTTTTCATTTTCATTTAGGAAGGCTGACTACGACATAAAGGGAATCAGCTATGACACTGTACTATGCTGGATACCATATCATAATGAAGTTAAACTCTACAGACCCCCTATTAATAAGGAAGTATTGTCACCTTTATTGCAGAAAACTGAGGAGATGTTACAAATGAGAGCAGTCCAAGTCTCAGATTTCAGGCAACATGGAGCTGGGATTTGAACCTATGACTTCCTGACTCCAGAGTCAATTTTCTTTTTACTCAACAATTAATGTTTGTTTACAGGGTTCATATCCAATGGGCCCCCACGTGAAGTAAATTAAAATTCATTTCTCTTGTTAAATAAAAGTTGGTTTACAATTCTTTATGGCATCAAATCCCAAGTAATTCATGCATAAAAGTACTGTCAAATTGCTCTTTCCTTGGTTCTTACTATTTGACAATATTTTCCTCTCTTTTCGGGAAAACATGCTGGCCAATTCTCCTCATACTACTCAGTTATCTCTATTGCCAAACCTGTAAACAAGCCATTGTTTCCTCTCCATCAAACCTTCCAAAATTTTGCTCTAAATTGAACTTCACAAAGTTTTTTCTTTCTTTCCTTTTTTTTAAAAAAGATTTAATTATTTATGCATACTGAACTGGGATACAGGCCAGAGCTGCTGGGGAGCAGGAGAGAGGATTCACCAGAGACAGAGTGGGGAGCAGAACAGGCAGAAAGACAAAGTGCACTGCTGAGGGGAGCAGCCAGTGAGACAGGAGAGGTCTGCTGCACCATATGGGTCACCTCCCTGGCCAGGGATCAAATTCACACTTAAGTGGCTGTGGCCAGCTTTGCAGTAATGCACTTTAACCCGTTGCACCACAAAGGAGAGACCTTCATGAAGTCTTCTTTTTATTTTTCTTTTTTTAAAGACTTATTTAGACATACAGGACTGGGATACAGGCCAGAGGAGCAGGGGTGGTGAGAGGCTTCACCAGGCAGATCAGGCAGATCAACGAAGTTTACTGCTGAGGGGAGCAGCAGGTGAGTCAGGAGAGGTCAGCTATACCATGTGAATCACCTCCAGGGCTGGGGTTCAAACTCACACTAAAGCAGCTGCAGCTAGCTTGCAGTGCTATGTCCTAACTCGCTGCACCACCAGGGAAGGCCACAAAATCTTTTCTAATAGCCCCTGCCAAACTCCAATTATCCCAAACATGTACCCTTGTAAATCAAGTTATATAAAATGGCCACCGCCAGGAAAGGAAAAAAAAAAACTTAAGGAGTAGGCCCTCCCAGGTGGCGCAGCGGGTCAAAGCACAGCACTGAGAATCTAAAGCCACTTCCACATGAGTTCGATTCCCGCCTGCCCCGGAGGTGACCACATGGCATGGCAGACCTCTCCTGACCCGCCCGCTGCTCCCCTCAGCAGTGTACTTCGTCGATCTGCCTGTTCTGCTCCCCACTCTGTCTCTGGTGAAGCCTCTCACCGCCCCTGAGCCTCTGGCCTGTACCCCAGTTCTGTATGCACAAATAAAAATAAATCTTTATAAAAAAAAAAAACTTAAGGAATAAAGGTACCCTCAGAGGATAAGTGAAATGGGAAATGGCATCACAGAATACTGAGACACTATCAAGTACAGCATCCTCCTTTTCCAGGAGGACAGTTCATAAAACCCAACTGTGGGTTCCTATAAACTGGTCATTCACGGGCAATTGTGACCTATTTGCTATCTACAAATCACAGCAGAACATTCTTTGACTACCTATGGAGTATAGCTCATATTGTGAGGCAGGCCTGAAGACACTGAGCCACTGTTAACCTGATTACATGACTATCTCCATGGCGATCCATGATGATCTTGAGATAACTCTGCCTGTGATATCATCATACTCTGCTGACTCAACTAGGAAACCCCTACCCATACTCTTCCTTACCATTCCAAACCCATACCTGAAAATTAGATCCCCTGAAAATCAGAACTGCTACCATCTTCCCCTTAGCCTAAGTCAGGGTACTCAAAAATAATAGTCATGCTACTGGACTTAGCTATTCTGTTAGCCCTTCAAAACTACAGAAAATGTGAATTTATAGCTGATTTATTTCCTATTGTGAACTGTGCTTTGCTTTTGCTTATCCCATCTTCCTCAAATGATAACAGTATCTCTGAAGGTAAGGCCTGCATCTTTTATTTTTCTGGGTCACTTCTTGTGTACATGGTGCAGCTAATTCTCTTTATATAAGAAACATTCACATCCATTAACTGGCCCTGTAGAAATTAAGCTCAAGTATTTACCAAGTTTTATCTGTGTTTCTCAGCAGACTGAACTCAAATAAATAGATGAGCAATCTCATATGAAAGTTTCAAGTAAGAGGTAGTGCAGCATATTGGAAAGAATGAATTATTGCCCAGCACTTTTAGGTTCCAGGCCATTGAACTGAGTTCTTCAAGATCAAAAAAATGGGTTTTATTAACTTTGTAATACATAGTCACAATTTATAGCATAGAATAGGTGCCCAATTAATGTGTAATGAACTGAGCTGTTGAATTATTCAAAGTCTGACACTAACTATAGAATTTCTTATAATTTTTTTATTAAAATCCTCTAAGGTAGGGGCCCTCCCTGATGGCCTAGGGGTTAAGTCTCAGGATTATTACTGCTACACCGAGTCAATCCCCAGCCAGGAAGCTGACCCATGCGGCGCCAGATCCTCCTATCTCGCCTTCTGCTACCCTCAGCAGTGTATATCAGTAGACCCACCTCTTCAGCTCCCCACTCTTTCTCTAGTGAATCCTGTCACCCCCCATACACACCTCTGGCCTGTACCCCAGTTCCTGTATGCATAATAAATAAAAATAATTTTTAAAAAAGATTATTTGTGCATATAGAACTGGGGTATAGGCCAGAGATGCAAAGGTGGTGAGAGGATTCAGCAGAGACAGTGGGGAGCAGAACAGGCCGACTGATGAAGTACACTGCTGGGGGGAGTAGCGGGAGGGCCAGGAGAGGTCTGCCTCGCCATGTGGTCACCTCTGGGGCCAGTGGGGATCTAACTCATACTGAAGTGGCTTTAGCTTTTTAGTGCTGTGCTTTAACCCGCTGCGCCACCAGGGAGGGCCAAATATAAATCTCTTAAAAAAATAAAATCCTCTAAGACTCAAGTTTTTCTTATCTATGAGAAGATTAAAAACATAATCACCAAGGCCTCTTCTAGCTTTGACATTCTGATTCTATAATTACCACACCTATACTAGAGAGCATTAAGTGTACAGTGTCTGCGTACTGGTGGTGAGCGATTAACAGAAGCTGAACCAATAAATATACTAGTTCAGGCCTTCCCTAGTGGTGCAAAGTTAAAACCCAGCAATATGAAGCTATCAGCCAGGGCCTCCCTGGTGACCCAACAGGTTAAAGCATAGCACTGTGAAGCTATTGTAGTCATTGCAGAACAAGTTCAATCCCCAGTCAGGCAGCTGACCCACATGGTGCAGCAGACCTCGCCTGTCTTGCCAGCTGCTCCCCTCAACAGTGTATTTCAACATATCGGCCTGTTCTGTTCCACACACTGTTTCTGGTGAATCCTCTCACACACACCCCCACTCCCTGCACCTCTGAACTGCCACCCAGTTCTTATATACAAAATAAAATTTTTAAAAAACAGTAACAAATGCATTAGTTCATTTACATATGATAATATATAAACTTAATCCTTCTTAAACTGCCAATTCCTTGAAAGACAAGACTGAGTTTAAGTAATCCCTGGCACTGAGCTGATAGGGAGGGAAGCAGAGAAAAGGCAGAGAACAGGTACAACTGCAGAAATCATGCATAGAAACAAAGGAGTACACAACAAGAAAATGCACTAGAAAGTTCTACAAAGACAACAAAAAAAATTACCTGAGTGGCAAAGGGGCTGCAAACTCCCCATTGTCTGCTGGTATCTTCTGCTTTCATCTTCTGCTACTTCATTGATGTCTGAATAGTCCACAGCATCTTCTGTACTTCTGATCCATCCTATAAATAAAATGGGGAGAGGGGTGGGAGTTCATCTCAACAAATAGCAAGTAACTCTGGCTCCCGTTGATAATCCCCACTGAAAAGTACAGATACATTAAGTGGCTAACCTCCTCCTCCAGTCTACGCCCCATAACCCACACTTCACCTTCATCGTTTACCAAGGCACCATCAGTCAATTCTTCATTTGCCGTGAGTTCAGTGATCAGGCTGCCCAGACCCAAAGCCCCCAAGCCTGCCAAGTGCTTCTTACACTCCTGAAAAAGGGATAACATCAGAATTGAAGACAACAAAACCTAAGCCTCCCACACCATAAGGCTTATTTCCCTGGTCCACAATAAAGCTGTAAGCCCATACGAAAGATGTGCTAAGAGGATCACATTCCAGAACTTTAAACCTTCCACTAAAATCCATACAGATCAAGCCTTTATTAAGACAAGTTCAATTTCATCACCTTAAAGTGATACGAAAGATTAATCAAAGAGCACCACCAGGACTCGGTAGTCTATACATAAAGGTTAAAGCAACTGAGGGCATTCAGATTAGAGAGGCTACTTTTTTGCCATCTTGTGTGTGGGAGTGTGTTTTGCAGGGAAAGAAAATGGTCAATATTTTCTCCTTCTGAAAATGAGTATCATTTTCCTACCTAAAGTAACAAAGGTGTATCAATTGGGCAGGTGGGAAAAATTCATGAATGTCAGTGAAGAACTAGGAAACCTAGTTAAACTCTTTGGGATCTGAAGATGGTTTAAACATTCACTGTGCCAAAAACTGGGGCTTGAACCACCTGATTTGCTACAGGTTCTGTCCAGCCCCCTGGCTCTAAAGCCACCTTAAGTTGCGATGTCAGATCAAAGTTTCAAGATCCTCCAAGTTTCCCACAGCAACGGCTTGGAAACAATTCACTAGGTTGAACTGCTCTTCTGCCCACTGCCTGGTCACGACGAACTTAACGCCAAAACCACCACCACCCCCGGGCCTCCGAACCGCTAAGGCTTCCGCAGAGGTCTCCTTTTTCCCCACAGGCGCCCAAAACTCAGCCTCCTCACTACGTTACTGCACAAGATCGCTTCCATTTCCCTCCTAACTGCGCCCTCTCGCAGAGGGAGGACCACATCACCCTCTATTCCCCTCAGCTCAACACCTAGTCCTCCCTTCCTCAGTCTTCTTTCCCTGGCCGTAACACCCCGCCCTACCCCACGCCCACTCCCTCACATCGTCCAAGACGCTTTCCCCCTCCAGTTGCCCCGCTCCATTTATGTTGCCGAAAAGGAAACCGGCTAAAGAAAATGGGCCGCCTCCAGCCGAATCTTCGTCGCTGTCCGTGTCTGACATGATGGCGGCTGCAGTGCGGGGAGAATATCCCAGCCTGGTCCCATCGACCGGAAGTATGTACATAAGTCGCCCTGAAGTGCCTAACAGGGCTACCTGACGCTGCCAGCTTCTACCGGAAGCGGAATTAACAAAGAGTAACCGGAAGGGCCGTTCGTCCTACAAGAAAGGAGAAGTGGTGTCCCTACTTTACTAACGGATTTTGATTCGACCGTACACGATCAGGAGTCTGGATAAGTGGAAAGTCATTGGTCAATTAAAATGTTCGGTCCGCCCCCTTCCCCTGGAGTACGCGCTCATCTTGAGGGGGCTAATGGAGCTTTACTCCAATTACAAAGAGCTGTCTGGGTCACGTGGTCTACCTTGCAGTACCACGCAGAGCACCCGGAAAATTAGAACCGGTTCTTCCAGTCTGTGCTATTTTTCGCTTTGTAACAGGGTGGTCCCTAGGAAAAAGGGAAGTTCCAGGTTCCCTGCCCCACCCAGAAGGAGGGTGGAGCTAAGCAGAGAAAAAGGAGAGAAGAGAGAATGAAGCAGGATGGAGAGCCAGGAGACTTGAGAAAGCCACATGGGCAGCAAGCATGTGATGAAGAAACGTGCTTGTTTCCTGACCCTGGACTGTTTAAGGCAGATGTGGGTGAGATACCTGTAGGGAGGTGACTGTGGCAGTGTTTATATTGATTTTGCTGTTTTGCTCTCAGATTTTGCTCTCAGACCCTTTTCCATGGGTCCCGGCCAGGTGTTTTAGTTTAGTGGCGGGCTTTCAGGCCTTGCTTTGGGCCAATCCCTTTTGAGTTGACTTTTGCCCACAAGGGGATGGGTAACTTCAGGTGTTTGACTTAGAAGTTCTATTCTTTGTGTTCCGTATTGTATATTCATTGTATTCATTTCATTAAAGTTTTATATGTTTTGTCTTGTTGCGGCGGATGGCAGAACCCACTTAGAGCAGGCAGGTTTTGGGGCTTCAGGGGTGTCCCTCTCCCCCTGTCCTATAACAGCTTCACTCTTCTATCCCAAAGAGAAATCAACGTTCGGTGCCTTGGGCCAAAAGTACCTTTGCAAGTTAGTTGTTTTGAATTGATAATTCCCATAGAAATCAACTCCCTCCTCCGTTTTGGAAATAAATTTACAGCCTACCCCCACACCTAGAGTCAGTTGTTAACGTTTTGTCAGATGGGTTTTTTCTTGAATTGCTTGAAAATGGGCTGCAGGTACGTGATTCTTCACCCCTAAAAGTAGACTTGTTGGCAACCATAGCGCCATGGTTACATCTTCAAAAGTTAATGTTAATGTAATATAATTTAAAGCAGTCAGTATTTAAAGTTCCCCAATTGCCCTGTAATTGGAGAGTTTAAATTTAAATTCCAGCCACTTAAGGTTTATCTCTCCGTAGTCTCTTAATCCAGAAATCTTTTTCTGTTTTGCATGATACTAATTTTGGGAAAATCCAGGCAAATTGTCTCAAATATTCTGGATTTATCTAAATGTTCAAAATTGGTTCACTTGCCATCAGAAGGCACAATGTGGGTTGTCCCAAAATTGGTGATACTAAATTTGATCATTTCCAAAAAATGGTTCCATGTCTCCTTGAGTAGGTACATTTTTTTCTTTTGTAATTAGTAAGTAAACTATGGGGTCATACAGACACACAAGAGTTGTGACCATGGCGGGAAGAAAAAAGAATGAACCCTCAAACCACTCAACAATGAGCAATGCAAAAGTTTTATTGAAGAAACAGGCCGCCAGCTCTTCCCTGCAGCCAGCAGGCCTGAGAAAATTTATGCAAAAGGACAGATTAAGAGCAGAGTTGCTCCTTGCAAGGGAGTCTGGAAGGAGGGTTGACCTTAAGTGAAGACCCTATCAGGGCTTTTTTAGCAGTGCTCTGGCTTTGGGTCTAGGGTGTATAAGTCATGCAGTTTCTGATTGGTGGCCTGGGACATTGGGCCTAATTTGCTTTTGATACTGCCTCTTGACTTTCCTCCCATTTTATAATGTTCAGATATTTCCCTCCTGTTATGTCTCCCCCAGGGCTCCCTCTCCACCTATAAAGGTCTAACTCTAAAAGTACTTTGAGATTATGTATGTGTATATTCTGTTACTCCATCACACTTACACTCAATTGTTTTAGTATTCATTGATGATCCTTGCCAGAATCAATTATATTAGGAGACTTTTGCACTAAAACAGGTGATTTTTCTCATTTTTAAATTCCTCCTACATGCTTTAATCTGACTTAGTAAAGAATTTTCCCTTTCTCACACTTATATCTATTACAATCTAGAGCCATCATTATATTTTTTGATATTCAAATAGGTCTTTGAGCAATAACTTGCTTTTTTGGTATAAAATGTTCCAGGCTTGCGCCTCCCTGGTGGCACAAGGGTAAAGTGCAGGACTATGAAGCTGTCCCCAGCCACTGCAGCAAGTTTGATCCCCAGACAAGGAGGTGACCCACATGGCACAGTAGACCTCTCCTGTCTCGCCTGCTGCTCCCCTCAGCAGTGTATTTTAGTCAATCTGCCTGTTCTGCTCCACACTCTCTCTGGTCCTTTCACATCCCTGCATCTCTGGACTGTACCCCAGTTCTTCTATGTACAAATAAATAAATTAATTTAAAAAAATGTTCAGGCTTACTCTATACATTCCCTGTCCTAGACCTACTATCAGCCATTTCTCTAAAGAGCCCTGGTTCCCCGAAATGGAGAATGATGTTTAGGGCCCTCCCTGATGGTGCAGCAGGTTAAAGCGCAGCACTGCAAGCAAGCCACAGCTGCTTCAGTGCAAGTTCGATCCCTGGCCCTGGAAGTGATCAACATGGCGCAGCAGACCTCTCTTGTCTTGCCCGCTGGGCACAGCGTACTTCATCAGTCTGCCAGTTTTGCTTCCCATTCTGTGTCTGGTGAATCCTCTCACCACCCCTGTGCCTCTGGCCTGTACCCCCCAGTTCTGTATGAATAAATAAATAAATCTTTTTTTTTTTTTAAATAAGGAACAGGAACATCATGGGCCCTTCCTGGTGGTGCAACAGGTTAAAGCACAGCACTGCACAGCCGCTTCAGTGAACCACATCGTGCAGCAGACCTCTCTTATCTGCCCTGTGCTCCCCTCAGCAGTGTACTTCATCAATCTGCCTGTTCTGCTCCCTACTGTCTCTGGTGAATCATCTCGCCACCCCTGTACCTCTGGCCTGTACTCCCAGTTCTGTATGCATAACTAAATTAAAAAACAAAACAAAAACAGGAGCATCATCTCTTTCAATGAAGAGAACTAAAAACAAGTGAGTTTATACTAACCAATTCAAATCCAACACTACAAGCTTCTCCTTCACCATTCCCCATTTCATATTTCTATTTTATGCTTTAAAAAAAAGATTTATTTATGTATCCAGAACAGGGGTACAGACCAGAAGTGCAGGGGCAGTGAGAGGGATTCACCAGAGACAGTGGGGTGCAGAACAGGCAGGTCAACGAAATACACTGCTGACAGGAGCAGCCAGCAGGCAAGATGGGGGAGGTCTGCCACGCCATGTGGATCATCTCTGGGGTGGGGATCAAACTCATGTAGAAGTGGCTTTAGCTTCTTAGTGCTGTGCTTTAACCGCTAGACCACCAGGGAGGTCCCTCTTATTTTATGCTTTTTTAAAAGATTTATGTTTATGCATATAAAAACTGGAGTACAGGCCAGAGGTGGGGGTTGGGGGGTTGAGAATATTCACCAGAGAGTCTTTTGTAATACATCCTACTGAGGATATACCATGTACTGTGTTTAAAAAATTACTTGAATCATTATCTTCCTCTGGAGTTGTGTTTAACTTTACAATTTGCTTTTATCATCCATGTTTTATATGATTTTATTTTCAAAATACATAAACCATCACATAATTAAAAGCCATCTTATATAGAAAGCTATTCCAGAGAAGTCTTGGTCCCATGCCTGTGCCCTGTAAGCAACCATTTTCATCAATTTCCGGTTTATCCTCCCATTTTTTTTTTACAAAAATGAGCATGAGTATATATTTCATTTCCCATTTCCTTTTTTCTTTTAGATTTATTTACGCATAAAAGAACTGGGATACACGCCAGAGGTTTGGGGAGTGGTGGTGAGAGGATGCAACATAGACAGAGTAGGGAACAGAACAGGCAGATTGACTGAAATACACTAATAAGCAGCAGGTGGGTCAGGAGAGATCTGATGTGCCATGTGAGACACCTCCCTGGCTGGGGATCAAACTTACTGCAATGGCTGCAGATAGCTTCATAGTGCTGTGCTTTAACCCATTTGCCACCAGGGAGGGCCCTAGAATGTTTTTTTTTTATTTTTTTTTAAATTTATTTATTTGTACATACAGAATTGGGGTACAGGCCAGAGAACTCAGGGGTGGTGAGAAGCTTCACCAGAGACAGAGTGGGTAGCAGAACAGGCAGATCGACGAAGTACACTGCTGAGGGGAGCAGCGGGTGGGTCAGGAGAGGTCTGCCGCACCATGTGGTCACCTCCAGGGCAGGAGGGAATCGAATTCATGTGGAAGTGGCTTTAGCTTCTCAGTGCAGTGCTTTAACCTGCTGCGCCACCAGGGAGGGCCTAGAATGTTTTTTTAATGTACTTTGTCCTGCCTCCCAAAGAAAAGGAACTTCAGATACTATATTAAAAGGTTGGGTCCTTCCTGGTGGCACAGTGGGTTAAAGCACACCACTATGAAAGCTAGCCACACCTGCTTCAACTTCCATCCCTGGCCAGGGAGGTGATCCACATGGCACAGCAGACCTCTCCTGTGTAACTTGCTTGCTCCCCTCAGCAGTGTACTTCATCAATCTGCCTGTTCTGCTCCCTATTCTGTCTCCAGTGAATCCTCTCACCGCCCTTGGCATCTCTGGCCTGTACCCTGGTTCTGTATGCATAAATAACTAAATCTTTAAAAGGTGCCATTTCTGACTCAAAATGTGGGCTTGGTAAAAGTTTAACATATGACCCAGCAATTTCTTTCAGGTACATAGCCAAATTTAAAACATATCTACATAAACTTGTATACAAAGATGTACAACTACATTATTCATAATAGCAAAAATATGGAAATAATTCAGATGTCCCTCAATTGATGGATAAATGTATGTCTGTACAGATGAGTATTATTCAGCAACAAAATGAAATGAAGTGCCCTTATGTGCTACAAAATGGATGAACCTTGAAAATATGCTAAATGAAAGAGAGTTCCAAATAATCATATATTGTTTGATGACATATGAAATGTTCAGAAAAGACTAAGGGATGAAAGACTGAAGTTGTGGCTTGGGGGGGAGGGGTGGGAACAGTGCTTAACTGTAAGAGGGACCTCTTTAGGGTTATCTGTAACTGGACTGTGGTGATGGTTGCAATACTCAGGACTAAAAGTCATTAAATTGTGAGCTTGAAATGGATGCTCTTCCTTAATAATGCAGTGCACCAACTCTCCATACAATCACAGGCCAGGATGAGTCCACTTCCATAACAGGAAGGCTATTTTCCTGAGATAACTGGAGGAGGAAAAGGACATTAAGTGATGTCTTATCTTTACAATACCAACTCATACAATAGGAGAGGCTTGGTAATTGGCTGAATATAATGTATCAGTGAGAAAAAATAACTATAGGGAACTAGCTAGTCTGTCATTAGTGAAAGCCAGGAAATTATGCTAAATCCTTGAACAGGCGGGGGGAGCAGGAACTAGAGAATTGGTGTCAGCAGAGCACACAGTATCCTAACCTGATTGTCCAATATAGAAAAATAAGTGAAGTTATGTGTAACTATAGGGTACAATATAATTGCAGTTATTTTAGCCTTTGCAAGTTGAAAAGTACTAGAAAGCACTCAAAACAAAAGGGAGGGTGGGAATTGCTTTGATCTTAAGAAAGCAGCAGACCTGGTAAAATCTAAAAAGTTTATTATCATTCGTGATGAATAACTATAAGGTGATATCAGCATGTTGGTCTTCATACAAATCCTTTTAAGTACAAAAACCAAGATGTCAGTGTCTGCTTAGGACCACTGAATCAGTCCAATACAAAACCACTTTCACAGACTTGGGGATCATACCTCCATTTATTAGAAGACACAAATTTGCCCCCCAAAACTCCAGGCTTTCTTTTGAAAACTTCCCAGACAAAGGGTAAGCAGGAGGCACTATTAAACTAAAACTAATTAAAAAGATTTCAGTAGCTTAAAAAGTTCCCAGAGACACAGGAGACCACCAGTTTGTGGCCCCTTTCAACCAAAAAGCCCTATAGCATTCCAGGTAGCATCAACGGAACATACTGAGACTAAATAACAGCCTCATTTGGCTACCTGAGGAAAACTCAGTGACTCTACAAGGGCAGCGGGCACACATGCTCACAAGCCAATTGATTCCTGTGGTCACCATACTACCATTAACAGCAGTTCAACTTTCCAAAGTGCTACTGGGCTTTAGTTGAAGAGGACCACCATCTTCCAGTTAACACACTTGTGCATATAAAATCCCTGCCACTCCACCCCCCAACACACACACAGGAGGCCCTGGGTCATACACTGGAAAAATACAGTACAATATGTTGAAACTGAGATGAAAGGTAAATCTTAAACAATACCATTCATTCAGGACCCTCCACAGCTCTAGACAAGAGGGTAGAAAAATACTATATGAAATACTATGACGTGAAAGGTACAATGGTGAAGGAAAAACCAACCAAAAAAAAAAAAAAACCTAATCTAAGGCGAATAGAAGGTGAGTTTCCTTAACCTTCCCCTTCTTTTTTTTAATATTCATTATGTATACAGAACTGGGGTACAGGCCAGAGGCACAGGGGCAGTGAGAGAATTCACCAGATACAGAGTGATGAGCAGAACAGGCAGACAAACAAAGTACCCAGCTGAGGGGAGCAGTGGGTAGGTCAAGAGACATCTGCTGAGCCATGAGGGTCACCTCCAGGGCTGGGGGATCCAACTCTCACCAGAGCAGCAGCAGCTAGCTTACAGTGCTGCACCCCAACCCGCTGGCCACCAGGAAGGGCCAACCTTCCCTTCTTGCTACTGATACCATGTATGATACCTACATGACTCCAGGTTCCACTTTTTCAAGATAAGGGTTGCCAGATTTAGCAGATAAAAATATAGGATGAATTTCAGGAAAAAAAAGCAAATAAGTTTCAGTGTAAGTGTGTACCAAATATTGCATTGTACACACTTTTACTAAAAAAGTTATTTGTAAGGGATGACTTTTATCTGGCAACCCTATTCAGGAGGTTCAGTTAGCCTAGCAAGTCAAAGAGCAACAGGGCTATCAAAGTCACTTCATCCACGGGGCTGGGGGTGTGGTGGGATTTGATCCTTTTGGCCCATTTCCCAATCTCTTAAAAATTGCTATTTTGGAAGGGTGAGGGCATGTGCATGGTAGAGCTGCCAAATGCTATCTGCCAAGCAGAGAAGTTGCCTTCCATATCAAATGAAGGTCAAAAATACAATTAGTGGGAATAAGGAGAAGCAGGTCACTGACATATGGTGTCAGGCTCTTACTGCCCAAGTATGCAGAGCCACTCCAGCAAAATCCCTACAGGATCCAAAATACTCCTCTCTAGGAGCAACTAAAAGACTTCAAAGGGCACACAGGGCTGAACACAGGAAAAAAAATCACATGGGAGGGAGGGACAGGAAGATAGCAATGAAATCAGCAGGGAAGTCTCAAAGAGGAATTACAGAATTCCATGACAATAGCTAGTAGGACATCTTGCTTGTTTTATTTATCTCCAATGCCCTTCCCTGAAGCAGGAGGCAGAGAAATAAAGGGCCCCACAGAAGCTTCAGAGACAGAGCATTTTGAAGGGATTGAAGTTCCACATCACTGGGCCCATTGTGCTATCAGAACCTAATAGCAGATCTGATATCAGATTATACATCCAGTGCTGCACGATAACTAAATACCAACCCCATTCCCAAAGCTGAGGAACTGGCCACAAATCTGTAACTGATCAGTATTTATCTCAAAGGCATGAAGAGGGAAACAACAGAAAGACCAGAATTGTGTGAACCTTTTTTCCCCATAGGTTCCTCCATGGGGAATTCCTGGTTCCAGCTAACCTAGCATCTCTGAAACTTTTCCCAGGGATGTTAGTAGGTGTTGCATGGGAACACTCAGTGAAATAAACATGGGAAACATTGCTTATAAGAAATTGTAAATTCCTACAGTAGAGGAACCTGTTTATATTTAAATCACCAGTTCCTTTCAAGGAACATTTATTACCATATCACAGAGCTTTAGGAAATACTGCTTAACTATTTTGGGGAAAATGTCTCACCTCAAGAATGGAGAAAAATTTGTCAACATTTGGAGCACCTAGAAATCACACATAAAATGGCTTCCAAAATTCAGTGTATCACAAAGTTTAAGACAATTTTTGAAAACTGGAAAAACTTGTCTTTCTGTGAAGCATTTGCTCTCTGCTAAATATGACAAAAAATGTTGAAATCAGATTTATAAGCAGACAAGCAAACGCCAATAAAGAACAACACTAGTCTGCACTGCTTAGTCATGGCCTGGCCAGGACAGAAAAAGAACAGCACTTGGTGGTATCTCCTCTTAATGTTTTGATAGGAGACACACACACACGCACACACTCACACGCACCCACCCTCAAACTTATTCCAAAAGGTTCAGACCAAAATTCAGGGTAGCCACATGCAAACTAGCCTGTCTTCATTTCTCCAAATGCCAAAGTCCAGGGTTTCCAGAAGAAAAGATAAATGGCTCACATTGGTGTTGTTAAATGCTATCAAAGAAATTGTCACTTATTCTCCTTAGGTGAAGTCCCCAAGCAGCATCTCAAAAGCTATAAGAGGACACATTTCTTGGTGTTCTTCTTTGTAGCAGGGTAAAGCACAGCCCGGACAGCTTCCAAAAATACCTCATGTACCCCATCCTGCATCAGAGCAGAACATTCCAGATACTTCACAGCCCCCACCTGTTTGGCCAGGGAAGTGCCTTGCTGAGGAGTTGTGGGCACTAGGCTCTGTTCCTTCAATTTCTTCACTGTCTCAAGATCACTCCGAAGATCTCTCTTGGTGCCGACCAGCAGAACAGGTACATTAGGGCAATGATGGGAGACCTCTGGGTGCCACTTATGCCTCACATTGGCATATGAAGATGGGTTGCCAATAGAAAAACAAATGACAAAGATATTGGTCTGGGGGTAGGAGAGCGTACGCAGTCGGTCATACTCCTCTTGGCCAGCTGTGTCCCACAGATTCAGGCTGACAATCTGGCCATCCACAGATGTCTGGGCGCTGTAGTTATCGAAGACAGTGGGGATATACTCCTCAGGAAAGGCATTTGTCGTGTAACTGATGAGGAGGCAGGTCTTACCTACAGCCCCATCTCCTACCACCACACATTTGATTGTCTGCATTCTTCCCTTGGGGTCCTGTGTAGAAGAGAGAATGTTTGCAGATGCTTGGTTAGGGAGCGTAAGCTTTGTAAACACTACTCTCTGAGGAGAAAAAAAAAGGAACTAAGACTCCCAAATTCCATCCCCTTCACACCATAGAAGAATCAGCTGGCAAAGGTTGTAGAAGATTTCTTACCATGAGTCCATGGACTGCTAAAGCATAGGCTTCACTAGGTCCTCAAAGCCCCCTCTGAAGTTGTGTGTAATGTGATCTGTGTGTGCACAAGTTAATTTGTCTATCAGACACTCAAAAAAAGGTGGTGCCGCCAAAATGATTTTAAAGTGATCACATACAGGTATTTGTTACACTCTTGTCACAAGATCTGCAGATACCTCATCAAAGTTGCTAAAATATAGCAGATAAATAATAAATGGTAACTAATTTACAACATGTTACAGAGAGAGGGTTCCCAAGGTTGAAACAAAAGAAACACAACTCTCACTTTGAGTCTGTGGCTACAGACAAAGCATAGGGACCTCCACTCTTCAAAAGCAGTGATATTGACAAGAGGGAAGAAACAAATAACCTACAAAGGGAAACCAATCCGGATGACATCAGACTTCTCTGAAGAAACACTACGGGCAAGAAGAGAGTGGAGGGACATTCTCAACAAACTCCATAGCATTAC